CGCCGATCAAGATGTCCCCAGACGTCCGTCGGCCGGTGTAAGTTCGGCATGTAGTCCCCAGGCGTACGTCTGGCCGGTGTTGCCCGGTGTGTTATTCCAAGCTTTCCGCCGTCCAGGCCCTCAGGCACGTGCCTGCTTGCCTGGGGGGTAGCCAGGACCGTTCCTACATGTCCTCCGTCTGGCCGTGTTGCCGCAGGTTGGTTCCCGGCGCTCCCGCCTGGCCAGTGTAGCCTGTGTGTTTGTCTTAAGCGCCCTGCACGTCCGTCGTAGCAGGGATTCCTCCTACGTCGTAAGTTCAGCGTTCGTCCGCCTGCCCGTCCGCCTGTGTCGTCTGTTGTTCTTCTTCGTCAGAGGGAGACGCCGGCGTTGGAGCAAGGACCCGAGATCAGCTCGACGACGACGGCAGGTTTACGTCTACTGGTACGCACTACAGGCCCTGGGTTCGGCGTTGACGCCGGCAATCCAGGATGACTTCGTTATGTTCGTTAAGTCCTCGGCGTCCAGTTCCAGGGGCCGTGCCCTGGACAGGGGGGCGGCCCCCATGTTTGCCTGGGGCACGGTATCCTCCAGCAATGGCGGCGTCGAAGCGTCGTCGGGAACGTCGTATATTTAATGATTCCCATTCTTTGCCTCCTTAAGACACTGTAAATTAAGTCTTTCTCACACTTGGTGTGAGAAAAATTTGGAAGGTTCTTATCTTGTACTAGCAACACTTCTCGCGACATGCCTTGCCCTTATTCATATTTATGTTCTACATTTCAGCACCGACATGCCTCTGCTTTCAGATCACCTCGATTCCACTTTGCCACAGACTAACTTTACTCAGGCATTCGTAGCCTTGTGCATGTCGCACGTTCATATCTTCGCGTTCGCTGTGTTACAGTTTGCTTGTTCACTTTTCCTTGTCTTACGTCATTAAGTAAAGTCAGCCAGGATGTCCTATTTGCAGAGTTATAAGTAATTTATTAAGTAAAGTCAGACAGGACGTCCTATTTGCAGTATTTGCGGGCCCTTAATTTGCTTTACGTTCCCTGGCCCTGCATTTTGCCTAGTTTCCTCAGTAGTTACAGTACTTTCGCTGGGCCCTTGCAGTTTATTCACGTCGCTTATTTGGTTATATTTATGTTATGCATCTCCCCCGTTCTCTTAATGTAAAATGGCTATATATCCACGCCGTTGTATACCCTATTTGTACTTGCAGATACCACGTGACATGCCTGCCCTTTTCATAATTATGTTCTACATTTCAGCGCTAACATGCCTCCTGTTTCAGGTTACCTCGACTCTCTTTCCCAACCAGCCTCCTTAATTTACCCCGACAGTTGATGCGTTGCTTGTCGCACGTTTATTTGTACGTTGCTGTGTTCAGTATGCTTGCCTATGTTACCCTGCCTTCCTCATTAGTAAAGTCAGCCAGGATGTGCTATTTGCAGAATTACTAAGTAAATTATTAAGTGAAGTCAGCCAGGCAGTGCTCGTTGCAGAGTTACTAAGAAATTATTAAGTAAAGTCAGCCAGGATGTGTTTGCAGAGTTCCTAGAATTATTAAGTAAAGTCAGACAGGATGTGTTTTGCAGAGTTCCTAGAATTATTAAGTAAAGTCAGACAGGATGTGCTATTTGCAGTTTCGCGGGCCCTTATTTTAGCTTCACGTCTCCTGGCCCTGCAATTGCCTAGATTCATAGGTAGTTACATAGTTTATGCTTGGCTATTGCAGTTTATTCACGTTACTTCTATGGTTATTTATGTTATGCTTTCCTCCGTTGCTTAATGTAAAATTGGTTTTATTTATTCTAGGGCGATATGTTCCATTTAGCCTACCACAATTTAATACATCTTACTTATTTGGTAACATTTGTGCTGTGCTTCATTTATGGTTGTCATTAAAATATGTTTCTATTTATTATAGGGCGGAATGTCCTTAGTGTCCCACCACTATTCATCCCTGTTACTTAATTGGTTACACTTGTGTCGTGCATCCTTTCTGTTTGTTATAAAAACATTTTTTTGTTTACTATAGGGCGATTTGTTACATTTAGCTTACGTTATTCTTTGTCTCTGCCATCCTTTGTTTCCTTGGCAGTGTCTTCAGTTAGTAGTCCCCTTTCCTTCGCTGTGGCTTCTAGGCAGCCAGGATGCGCGAGGTGCAGTTGCGGGCCCTCGCCTCTCGCTTTGCCTCCGGCCCTGCACTTGTTGGGTTCCCCTTTCTTTTATTCTCGTTTACGCTAGTCTCGCTGTTAGTTATGTGCTTCCCCCGGTTCCTCTGTCGTTCAACTTCGCTTGTTGCTTCTACGTCTGTAAGGTCTTCTAGTTCGCCTTGCCTTCGGTGTTGCGGCCCCCTTGCTTTCGCTTGTTTATTCAGGCTACGTTCCCCCCCCCCCCCCCCTTTCCTGGGGTCTCTTTTTTTTTTTCTTTTTTTTTCTTTGGGTTGGTTAACTTTTCTTTCTGTTGCTCTGTATTTCCTTGGTCTCCTTCGGGTGTTTGCTAGAGCTTTGCCTTTATGTTTTGGGTAATTTCAGCCGCGTCGGGCTCGTTGCTGTGTTACGGGCCTCTTGCCCTTGTTTAAGTTATTTGGGCCTGTTCAACAGCCTTCCCCGTCATTCGCCTCCTGCAGGCTATGCTTTGCCAGCTGCTTGTCTCTTTTGCCGGCTTACTTTTATGCTTCTCCCCTTCCTGTCTAGGATGTTTAGGTATGGACAGCGGGGCGCGAGCCTCGGCTTATCGGCAGCCCCCCCCCCCCCCGGGTCCCTGTTTACTCGGTCTTGCCCTCTTACTTCCGCATTCTTCCCTCCCATTCTACGTTATCGCTTCTCGTTTTTGGGCCTCGTCCCTTCCCTGTACGGGTTGTGTGCTGTCCAGCGCGCCTCAGCGCCGTCATCTTCTCTTCGGCCTCTGTTTGACGGCCCCCCCCCCCAGCCGTGCGGGCACGCCCGTGGGAAACGTCTCCTTGGTTCCTCCTACGTCCGTTGATCTTCCCCCCCCCATCCCTCCTTCGTGCCTGTGGGATTCTGTTTCTTCCCGTTATGTTACGTTACGTTACGTTACGTTACGTTATGTTATGTTATGTTATGTTATGTTATGTTATATGTTATGTTATATGTTATGTTATATGTTATGTTATATGTTATGTTATATGTTATGTTATATGTTATGTTATATGTTATGTTATATGTTATGTTATATGTTATGTTATATGTTATGTTATGTTATATGTATGTTATGTTATGTTATGCTAGCAGGGGCGGCAGTCGGGTTTTTTTTCCCCCCCTGCCTGTCGCCAGGTTAGTCAGGCTGTCACTAACGTTCCCCCTTTCCGCAGTGGCGAGAAGACGGACCACCCAACATCTGCAACACGGAAGAGGGCTCGGACGGCGTCAACGCGAGGACAGCAACGTAGTGGAGCACGGACACAGCCGGCCAGGGCGCGGACCAAGCCCGCACGCTTTGCCTCCCCCTCTACAGAGGCTCGGCTGGCTCGGACACGGACACCGGGCGCACTCCTCAGCTGCACAATTCCGGCAAAGCAACGGGTGGCACAGTGACCCAACTCCCACCCCTTTCAGCAGATGATTGGACGACGCTGCAGGCCCTCATTGCGCAAGCACGTGGGCCCCCTCGGGCGCGGCTCTCCGCGACGGAAGAGGTGCCTCGGCCGCCCCTGCCCTGGCCACCCCTGCTCCGGCCGCCTCAGCCCCCTCGCCCTTCTCCTCCGAGCGTCGCCCTCGATACAGGGCCAGGGGGCATACGTCGAGGCGCCGTGCCAGCTCCTCCAGCCCGTCCTCTTATGGTGAGTCTCCCAGGGTGAGCGCTGCTTCCCCTCCTCCTAGCCCTTGGCTGGGACACCTTCGGGCTCCCCAGGCTTCCACCATCCCACTCCTGGGCGTACATGTACCACAGGCCCTCCGTGAAAAGATCTGGGCTAAAAAGTATGTTGACCTCAGGGAGTTGCTCAATCATGAGCGAGAAGCAGGACCCTACGAGCCACGCCCCGCGCCCCCCACTGACCCCCAGGCGTCTGGTAAGAAGCAGATGCCACTGACGCCAGCCCAGTGGGAGCACGGCTTTGACATCTATGCCACGCTCTACATAGAGAAGCACCCGGCCGAGGCTCAGGCCCTGCTCACCTACACCCGCTACGTCAAGACCATGAAGGTGACCCTCAAAAACGACTGGATGTGGTACGACAAGGCCTTCAGATGGGACAAGGAGAGGTCGGACTGTTCTTGGCTTGATTACAGGCTGGACCTGGAATTCCGCTCGATACAGCGGGTCGCACACGTCGCTGTCCAGGCAGGCAGACAGGAGGCAGGTCGGCCGGCAGCCCTTTCCCTCTCTAGCGCCCGGGCCGCAGGGCTCCCCCCGGGCTACTGTTTTGCCTACCACTCGAGAGGACCCGGCTGCACTTTTACTTCCTGTGCCTTCCAGCACTACTGCCCGCGCTGCCGAAGGAGGCACCCGGCCTACACCACGTGCCCCCCAGCCCACATACGCGACAGACCCACCCATGACCAGCGCCCACGAAGACAACCACGGGACAAGGCTAAGAACAACGCCGGTGGACGCCGACGCCCTTGATGCTTTGCTGGCGGGTTACCCCCTGTGAGACTACGTCGTGGGGGGTTTCAGAGGGGGGTTCCTTCTTGGCTTTGAAGGAGTGCGAACCCCCCTTACTTCACGCAACCCCCAGGCTACGACGGACCTCCCGCACATCGTCGGGCCCATGCTCGACAAGGAGTTGAGTCTAGGACGCATCGCGGGCCCCTACGAAGCCCCCCCTTTCAAGAATTTCAAGTGTTCGCCCATAGCACTGAGGGAGAAGTCTACGCCGGGCAAGTACCGCCTCCTGCACAACCTTAGCTACCCTTACTCCCCTGACAGTGTGAACGCCAACATCCCACGGGAATCGACGTCCGTCACCTACCAGTCTATCCATGATGCGGTGACAATGGTTGTCAGCCGGTCCCCGGGGGCTCACCTGGCAAAGTGCGACATCGCAGAAGCTTTCAGGATCGTCCCAGTACACCCGAGCGACTACCATCTGCTGGGGTTTTCTTATGGGGGCAAGTACTACTACGAGAAGATGCTCAGCATGGGAGCCGCCCCCTCCTGCCGGATCTTCGAGTCCTTCTCCAGTGCCCTGCAATGGATCCTCGCCGAGAAGTTCGGGGTCTGCGACGTCGTGAAGGTATTGGACGACTTCCTCTTCGTCAGTTTCACGTTCGACGAGTGCCAGCGAAGCCTGAGGGTGTTCACTGCCCTCTGCGAGCGTCTGGGGGTCCCCTTGGCACCTCACAAAACGCAGGGCCCGTGCTCCTGCCTCACGTTCCTGGGGCTGGAGATTGATGCTCACAGGATGGAAACAAGACTACCAGAGGACAAGAGAACGAAGTACACGGCAGCGGTCGAAGTCGCGCTGAGTCAGGAGCGCATCCCTCTCCGAGACCTGCAGGCGATCATCGGGAAGTTGCAATTCGCCACCGCGGTAATCCCGGGAGGACGGGCCTTCTTGCGTCGTCTGCACCCGCTTACGCGAGGCCCACAGCGTCCCTCGCGCCTATGCCATTTGGACGCGGAGGCTAAGCACGATCTCGTCGCCTGGCGCTCCTTCCTCACTGATTTCAATGGAGTAACAGTTTTTCCCCCAGATGGCGGGTGGGGAAACGCCCCATCTCTTTCAATGTGTGCAGACGCTTCTTCCAAGGGGTATGGACTAACGCTAGGGGCGGCCTGGTTCAGGGGAACCTGGCCTCAGGTCTGGGGTCGGCTCAACATTGCTTTGCTCGAGCTCTACCCTTTCTTCATGGGCATAGCACTTTTCGCCCCGGTATTGGCCAATAAGAGGCTGGTGTGTAAATCGGACAACAGTGCAGTGGTAAGCGTGCTCAACACACTCTCTGCTAGGTGCCCCCTACTAATGCAAATTGTCAGGCCCTTGGCAGTGCTTCTACTCATCCATAACATTACACTCCTACCCTCCCACCTCCCAGGAAAATTAAACGGGGTTTGTGATGCCCTTTCCCGCTTACAGACGCTGCCGCCCTTGTTCCTGCGAGAAGCAGGCCTCGCCGAGACGCCGACAACAGTTCCTGCGCACCTCCTGCCCTGCAACTTCACCCTGCAACTGTGAGGACCCTATTCAACTCCCTGCAGCCAGCGACGAGGCGTACTTACAGGGCTAAGTGGGTGGAGTACGCCGCCTACGTCTCGGCAGGGCGGCAAGGAGAATGCCCCTTCGATGCTGCACCTTCGACTCTGGGGAACTTCCTGCAATCCCTGCTCTCGCGGGGCCTGTCTTACCGCTCTCTGCACGCCTATCTAGCGGCCATCGCCTTCGTCTGCAAGCTACACGGTAGGAGGGACCCAACTCGGCAGTTCCTGGTCACCCAACTCCTCAAAGGGGCACGTAACTCCGCACATGCGGGCCCCTGCACGGCGTCTCCCAGTGACGAGGAGCCTCCTGCATCGCCTGCTGCGGGCACTGGGAGGCGTATGTAACTCTGCCTATGAGAAGTCCTGCTACAGGGCGCTCTTCTCCCTGGCTTTCCACGCCTGCCTACGCCCGGGTGAGGCGGTCTACGTGGACCATGGACGACACACGCTCAACCTTGAGCAGGTATCACTTACGACGGCAGGAATAGATATCGTCTTCAACACCTACAAGCACAGTGCAGGGCGCACGCCCACCCTCTCCCTGAGAGCGAACCCTTCCAGCAAGTACTGCCCGGTCCGTGCCCTGTCTAAATACTTTAATCACAGGGGCCTGAGCCCGGGGCCCATATTCAAACACGCCGCAGGCGCTCCTGTCACCAGGCGAGATTTCTCCAAGATCCTACGCTCTGCCCTCACGGCGCTAGGCTTGCCTCCAGATGACTACGCGCCGCATTCCTTCCGTATCGGCAGGGCCACTCAGCTGTCACGGGATGGGCTCGCCACTTCAGAAATAATGGCTGTCGGCAGGTGGAGGAGTAGCGCTTTCACATCCTACGTCAGGCGGGACGTTGTTGCTCTGCCACTTTGAGTGCCTCTCGCGGCCAGCTGGCACTCGCCCTTCGGGGGGGGGGTCCGGCCGCTGGCCTGCGGTGGGGGTGCAGCGCCGGTCCCCAAGTGTCCCGCTGTCCGCAGCTAATACTTTGCCCAGTCTAGGTGCTAGTAAGCCCTACTTGTAGTCACCCCCTTCTCCTTATTCATTAGGTCTTTCCGGCCTCTTGGTCGGGTACATTATGTGTTATGTGGTCTCTCACTTATTAGTTACTCTTTGTGTCCTGCCTGTTATATCCTAGTGTTATATAATTACTCACATTTGCATTCGGCCTTAATTCTAGTACCAGTTAAGCTTTACGTTTCTGCAGAATTAGTTTCCATGTCACTATAGGCTAAGGTCTCATAATTACTACGGGTGTACCTTTTAAGTTAAATCTAGTCCTCGGACTTGGAATTGTTACTGTTAATTCTTACTTTATATATTTACATGTTCTGCAGAATTTAATCTTCAATTACTTTAACGCCCCATGCTGCCTGTATCTTTCTCCCCCTGGACAGAAAATGACCGAACCTAACCAACCCTACCTAACCTAACCTATCTTTATAGGTTAGGTTAGGTTAGGTAGCCGAAAATGTTAGGTTAGGTTAGGTTAGGTTAGGTTAGGTAGGTTAGGTAGTCGAAAAAACATTAATTCATGAAAACTTGGCTTATTAGGCAAATCGGGCCTTGCATAGTAGGCTGAGAAGTGCGTTCTGGCTACTAGGTACGACATATATATATATATATATATATATATATATATATATATATATATATATATATATATATATATATATATATATATATATATATAATATATATATATATATATATGGCTACTAGGTACGACATATATATATATATATATATATATATATATATATATATATATATATATATGTCGTACCTAGTAGCCAGAACGCACTTCTCAGCCTACTATGCAAGGCCCGATTTGCCTAATAAGCCAAGTTTTCCTGAATTAATAAATTTTCTCTAATTTTTTTTCTTATGAAATGATAAAGCTACCTATTTCATTATGTATGAAATCAATTTTTTTTTACTGGAGTTAAAATTAACGTAGATATATGACCGAACCTAACCAACCCTACCTAACCTATCTTTATAGGTTAGGTTATGTTAGGTAACAGAAAAAGTTAGGTTAGGTAGGTTAGGTAGTCGAAAAACAATTAATTCATGAAAACTTGGCTTATTAGGCAAATCGGGCCTTGCATAGTAGGCTGAGAAGTGCGTTCTGGCTACTAGGTACGACATATATATATATATATATATATATATATATAATATATATATATATATATATATATATATATATATATATATATATATATATATATATATGTCGTACCTAGTAGCCAGAACTCACTTCTCAGCCTACTATGCAAGGCCCGATTTGCCTAATAAGCCTAGTTTTACTGAATAAATATATTTTCTCTAATTTTTTTCTTATGAAATGATAAAGCTACCCATTTCATTATGTATGAGGTCAATTTTTTTTTATTGGAGTTAAAATTAACGTAGATATAGGACCGAACCTAACCAACCATACCTAACCTAACCTAACCTATCTTTATAGGTTAGGTTAGGTTAGGTAGCCGAAAACGTTAGGTTAGGTAGGTTAGGTAGTCGAAAAAACATTATTTCATGAAAACTAGGCTTATTAGGCAAATCGGGCCTTGCATAGTTGGCTGAGAAGTGCGGTCTGGCTACTAGGTACGACATATATATATATATATATATATATATATATATATATATATATATAATATATATATATATATATGTCGTACCTAGTAGCCAGAACGCACTTCTCAGCCTACTATGCAAGGCCCAATTTGCCTAATAAGCCAAGTTTTCATGAATTAATTGTTTTTCGACTACCTAACCTACCTAACCTAACCTAACCTAACTTTTTCGGCTACCTAACCTAACCTAACCTGTAAAGATAGGTTAGGTTAGGTTAGGTAGGGTTGGTTAGGTTCGGTCATATATCTGCGTTAATTTTAACTCCAATAAAAAACAATTGACCTCATACATAATGAAATGGGTAGCTTTATCATTTCATAAGAAAAAACTTAGAGAAAATATGTTAATTCAGGAAAACTTGGCTTATTAGGCAAATCGGGCCTTGCATAGTAGGCTGAGAAGTGCGTTCTGGCTACTAGGTACGACATATATATATATATATATATATATATATATATATATATATATATATATATATATATATATATATATATATATATAACTATACACAAAAATGAGGTAGGTTGCTTAAAAGTACTTTCAGGTACACTGTAGTAATTATTTGCACTAATGATCAAAATTGCACAGGCAAAGCAAAAGAGCACAATGGAGCAATAGTGATTGGGCTAGGCAACCTGGGTTACAAAGAAAAAGTAGAATAAAAATTCTAAAGTAATATAAACTTAATGGTAATTTAAGTAATAAAAACTTAATGGGAACTTAGGAATGTAAAAAATTAACTAGAATCATTAATAACAATAGTTTTTTTTAGTTTAGTTTCATTTATTATGCACCCCATACCCATCTTGTGGGCGGTAGTGGAAAGGGTTACAGAGGCACATAATGGGCTCAGGGACTGAACCCCACAATTCATTTAGCTAAGCAAGTTACAATCTTGATGAGCTAGTTACAAAATTCAATATAAGTCGTCACATCAACAATGGGTTCGAGATCAACCTCAAGTACAGGTTCTAAATTAAGCAACTGACATATGTGGAGAGCTAGTGTCACAATTTATATGTTTGTCCTGCACACCGCCCCCCATCCAGTGGGCTGCGGTGGATAGGTTACAATCACTCAGTTACTACCTACAGTTAGCAAACTGGGGATATTTGGCTAAAATTTCTGGAAGCAGATCATTTTGAATGAAATATTTACACATCGCTGGAACATTGGTTATAGAATTGTCTCTAAATTCACGTATCTTTTCGCACTCCATCACATAGTGACGGAGGGTGTGCGAATAATTTTGTTGACACAGTTGACATTTGGTCAGGTCTACATCAGCAGCTAATGAGAATTCCCAGAGATACTTGTAACCGAGTCTAAGCCGAGCAGTAGTAACATCTAGAAGTCTGCTGATTTTATTGGATGATCCATAGATGTGTGGCTCCTCTTGCATGATAGTATGAGGATAGATGGAATTACTGGGGGTCCATAGAATTACCCAAATCGACCCAAATCAGGCCAAAACTACCCAAATCGTATTAGCATTACGTAAGTAATGAAGAAATATGGTATATTTACTTACTATAATGTTGGTGCTACACGTAGAACATGATCAAACCTATTTTTACTCTGAAATAATCTAATTTCATAACGAAATGAGACGTAAATATGTGAGAGGTGACGCCATAGGAAGTCGACGGTCCAAGCGACAATTGTGTGGAGCGACTTATCCAAGATATATGGTCGCCTGGAGAGTGTTTGCTGCCATAACAGCCTCCTGTACACAGTGATCCAGTCGTCGTATTTCATGGCTCAAATTGTCGCAAATTTAATTGGTAATATTAACAAGTAGAATGTGTATTTATAATAATATTTTTCATAAACAGCCACAAAATATTTAATATTTATTAAAAAAAAGTGTCTGGAAGTTAAATCAATTCCACATGACAATAAATTTGTTATATAGATACTAGCGTTATTCGTTGGTATGCGTTCGCTATTTAAACTACTCCAGTCCTTTTCGTTCATAGAACACCGAACCCTACACGCTCTCTGATATATTTCTTAATTAACAAATATTCACAAATAAAGATTATATTTATATATGTTATCAGAAAGGCAGATATAAAATAGTTTGTGTTAATGCATCACAGATATTATACCTTATTAGAGAGGAAAAATATTCATATTTTAAACAAGGCTTCTTGGCCGACGCTCTCCCTTTCGATGGGAACTATGACCTTTTGAAAATCAATGTTAATTGAATCTATATATTGTAAAAAACGAAGTTTTTTATGTCATCAGAAAGACATATAAGCTGCATGTTAATACTTTGGTATAAATATACTGAAGTGAAAGTGAAGATATATGCCTTTTTATAGTTACTTGATGGCTCGCTCAGGGAGTGTGAAGGCCTGCACACAAGCCAATCAATTTTATAATTAATGTACATATATGCAAAGTAACGTCAAAGGTTTTTATTTCAGAATAAAGACAGATGTAGACGATAATGTAAATACATTTCAAGGAAAACATATCTTAAATGAAAGCAAAGATATGGTCAAATAAATAGGCAATACCACACCATCGCCAGTGTCCGGACACATGAATATTCGCATTAGGTAGGTGAAAGGAAATGTACCCAACCATTTCCATTTACGCGGCCAGTT